GGGTGGCTGGCTGGTTGCCTGCCACGCATCTGGGGAGCCCAGCTCCCAGGGGAGAATGCATGAGACTTAGTCTCCTCTCAGGAGGCCAGTGACTCAGTGCCCCCCACTGGCCCCAGTTAGGGAAAAGGTAGGAGATTATTGGTGGACCCAGAGCAGCTAGAGTGCTCAGTCCTTGGCTGGTGTGAGAAGCCAGGGACCCCACTCTTTTCTCTTAGATTTGGCCCCTGCATTTTAAGGCGATCTCTGAGACACCTTCCAGTTGGGGTGATCTCAAGACAATACAACCCCCAGTCTAAAGTGGGGCTGTTGGGAAAGAAAGGAAGGTCAGTTTGCTCTCACTTGTGTGTAGTGCAGTAGGGGCGGGCATTCCTGGTCTGGGAGCCCCCATCTACTCTCAGCTATGCCTGGGGCCCAGGCCTCATGGTCACCTCCAGCTCTGCTCTGGTTCTCTTCAGACTGCCACAATAGAAGGAAATGGAGGCTCCTCAGGATCTGCCTGGAGTGGGGATTTCCATGGGCAGGGCAGCCAAGCCTGCCACCTGGAGCCCCACAGACCAGCTAGGGCCCACTGCTGAGGCTACCGGGGAGTGGGGGCTTGGGAGGTGGGAGAGGTCTTACCAGTTGGAGCAGGGCACAGAGCAGCTTCCCTTTCACAAGCAAAGGGGTGCACGGGCATTCTCCTGAGCAGCCCTGAGGGTCAGAAGCAGAGGGGTGGGATGGGGGAAGGAATGTGGGGCTCAGGAGTGAGGTCTTGCTCAGTTAGTCTCACCCCACCTCGCCGAAGCCCTCCTGTGCTGCCCTGATTCCCTTCACATCAAACATCTGCAGGGGCCACGATCAAAAAACCTGAGAGCATCAGAGTGGAGGGGGTAAGAAGGTAGGGAAAAGGGGGGAATTAAACAAGACGAGGGGAAGAGTGAGAAAATAGGTAGGAGGGAAACAGGTGGGGAGGGGTGGAAACAGTGAGAAAGGAAACTGAGGAGATGGGGGAGGAGGTGAGGAAGAAAGGAAGTGGGGGAAGGGCATAAAGGAAAAGGGGTGGGAGAGTAAAATGGGCTCCGTCAAAGACCAAGGGGCTACGAGGGGTAAAAGACTAGCAGTGAGGGAGAGGAGGACTGCAGGCGGAAGAGCGCGCGCGTTTTAGGATCCCCGACTCAGAGGCTCTGCCCGGCCTCTGGATGTGGCGAACCTCAAGAGGTAAGAAGGTCCTTGCCTCTGGTTGATAGGAGCGCGGAGAGGTGGAGGGGAGTTCGAGAACCTAGAGGCAGGTTCAAGGACAAAAGTGCACCTTGTGCAGGCCGACCAAGTCACTCTAGCCCTCTTCGCTAGGGCCCCGGGCCCTTGGCAGGCGGATGGAGAAAGATGCCCTAGGAAAAAGCCCAGCACTGCTAGGCCCTAAGTGCACTGGCTTGGAGACGCGGCGCCAGTGGCGGGCAGGGCACAATGAGGCCCGGAGCCCCTACAGTCGTTGCAACCTGGAGCTACCGAACTGGAGACCTCCGACCTGACACGCCTGCGAGGCTGCGAGGTCCAGAGGCTGGACCTGGTTCCTAGGGCGCGCCACTCCTTCTGACCCCTGTGGCATGCGTCCTGGCGCGCCGCACCAGTCCGGTGCCTCTGCCCTCTGTACTGTTCCCTGGCTGATTCTGAGCAAGGCCAGCAGCCCACGGTCCCACCCGACCCCCAAATCTCCGCAGGGTCAGGCGAGCCGAGCCGGAACTGCGCTGGGGCAGTGGTGATGGCTGGGCGTCCTTGCAGCTTCAGGGCCAAGGGCAATAGGGGGGCTAGGCCCGCAGACCCGGCCGTCCGCTGACGCAGCGAAGGTCTAGCCGAACCTTGGGGATCATTCTCCCAGTGCCGACCGAAGACCCGGACCTCCGGGCTGGACGCGCAGAAGGCCAGATAAGACGTTACTTAAACATGTTACTTAAACAAGACTGCAGTAAACGTTTCTTTCCAAATGAGAAAAGTCTTTTTCGTTCTCAGACGGTTTGAAGGTATTTGTGCCAACGTGACCCCCAGGGAGATTTGGAGGAAGCTTTCTATGTCCTAGGAGGCTGAGATCCCACGGAGCCGGTTTACTATTGAGAGCAGACAGTTTCGAGTAGATAGCGCTGGAAGAAACACGAAGAATCTCTCTTGCTTCTTGGAATGCGATAACCACATTTCTCTCTCTATTCCCCCTCTACTAAAAATCAGAATCCGCACGAAGCAGGCAGTCGCTCTGGTTCAAATGAATTAATTTGCCGAAGACTGCAGCTGCTCTTCTGAAGTCAGATTACAATTTTAAAAGTTTATACACATTGAAATTTCGCTACGGAAAGTTAAACGCACGCTAGCAACAACAACAAAAAAGGAATGCATTCAGAATTCCAATTTAATCCTCAAGTTAAAACTGCTCACTGCACGCCCAAATAGCGCACACAAACAGTACAAATAAATGTCTGTATACAGGAGTCCTTTTTTTTAGGTGTTTTTTGTTTGAAAAAGTATTGAATTGATTTTCATTCAACAAAGATACAGTCTGTTCGACATGTTTTATTAACAGAACTGGTTTTGGTAAAGAAAGTGTAATTTACATTTTTATCTTTAAAATTTTTGGAGGGGCAGATCCACAAAGATAGCTGTGACGCCCTCTCCCTGAGAAATCGAAAGTCACATTCTCAGCAAGGACCTGCAATTTACAAAGAACAATACAAATTACTGTATTTGGACTAATTTTCTCCCAGGAAAGAGAAATACTGGTTAATTTAGAAAACTCAATTCCAAATAAAATCTAGGAAAATTTGGCATTCCTACAAACACATGCAAAACAAACTAAATGCTTAAAATAGCATTTCAAAATCTCTTTTTATGAAATTCCTTCAACAAGAAAAAACCTCCCAAGAAATTAGACCAGTTTAATGCCTTCTAGGACTCACCAACGCAGTTGACATTTCTTTGAAAGCACAAAATGTATTCACCCATCTCGTAATTAAAATGCTATTGCTTCTGAATTGCTTTTAAAAAAATGGGTAGCTTTCTAACATTCCTTAACAAAAAACCAAAGCAAAGCACACTTGCGCATACACACACACACCCCACCACCACCACCACCATTACCACCAACAAATTAACAAAAACCCATTTAGTGGGTCTCTCTCGATCTCGTAAGTTGACATTGAAAATGAAACTTCTAGAAGAGCAATAAAAAAAAAAAAAAATAGATTTCCCTGAAATGTTTTGGCTGAGTTCATCACAGGATGATTTTTCATGCTTTAATAGAAAAATCACTTCTGATTGTGGTGTTACATTGTTACATTTTGATTAGAAAGCCACAATAACTTTCAACTTGTTTGTGGTCTTGGTTACATAATTAAATGACCATTTGAATAGCTGAGAGATAACGGGATAAGCAGTGGCATTTACAACTAAAATTATCTATTATCTGCCTATATTTATATGTACATTAAGCAATGTTTGTGTAGACAATAACAGTTATGAGAACACTTTACAGTTTTCAAAAAATTGTCACATTTTTCATTTGATAATGTATTTATTGTAATGGCTAGCATGTGGTTCCTTAAAAAAAAAAAAAGGTACAGACGTTTATGTCTCTATACAGCACTTCCCCTTCAAGGACTTTACCACCGTTTACTGATGATCTTTAATCATAGGGTGGGGTAGAGGGCTTGTATAAATGTATGAGGTGATGAAAGCGTAGGAAGGCAGATACACTCGATTAAAACAAAATCAAACGCTTCCATGGATGCAGCCATCCTTACTTTATCTGACAGTAATTAGCTAAAGTGTCTGGAACGAAAACGTATTATTAGTAGAGCACAGCTCGAGGATTTCAAAGATCTCCTTTTCAGACAAGAGAATGCAAATGCCCCAGAAGGCGATCGTAACTGGATAGGCGTTGGAACCAGATCCCACTCTCTGATAAGAGACTCCTGCGGAGCGACTGCTGCTATACAACTACCGCTCTGGAGTTGTTCTTCTTTCAGGCCCGAGGCTGTCGCGGGTACAGGCTGCGCGCGCGGGAAAAGGAGGCCACCTAGATGAGACTGGCCCGGCAAGGATCCCTGCGGGGAAGCACGGCCACTGGGCAACCAGACCAAGAGAGTCTGAACAATACTGAGGAGGTAGCTGGAGACAACCCAAACCCCTGCTCTGGGCATAAAACTCAGATCAATCTCAGGGATGCGGTAGCAGATAGAGGTTTTCCGCAGGCTGGAACAGCACTGCGCTGGGCTGGGGATGGGGAAAGGAAGCGGCGATAAGGCCTAGGCCCCACCCGCTAGGCCCCTTCGCCTGGGAGTCCTCACAGGCCTTAGTGGCCTACTGAGGAGCAACCTGCCCAGGGTCCTCAAAAGACAACCGCTTAGGCCTGGCGCAAGGTACCTGGCCCGGGGGCGGCTGGGGCGGCGGGATTTGGGGTAAAGGCACCCGTGGGCCTGCTGGTAGGGAGGAGACAGCCCCCTGCGTGAGCTGACAGAGGCGCCCTGGTGGGCTCCGGCGGCAGCAGCGCCTCTGTGGGCGTGTATCGGCGATCAGGCGCTAGAGGGGCGCTTTGTCCTGGTCGCAGTTTTAAGACCTGGATTGTTGGGGCTAGATTTATGTAAGGCCTAGGAGCGAAGCGAGGCTAAGAAGCAAGGGAGTGTAACAAGGAGAAATGCAGGCTTCGGTTGGAAACTGGGGAGAGAGAGATTGTTTCGATAGCCTTTCTCCTTTTCTTTTTCCAGAATCATGAAATCACCAGAGGAGAAGAAAACTGCGGACTAGAAGAGAGCAGAAACATTTCCCCTGAGACAGTTTTGCCCCGGAGGTGGGTTGGGGAAGTGAGGCTGAAGCTCAGCTTCCTGCTTGTATGCTCGGCGGCCACCGTTATGCACACACACTCAAGGTCCGCCACCCCGCAGTGCCGTGCACCCCTCCGCCCCCACCTCGGAATCTTTGCGCCCGAGCGCTCGGGATCCACAGCAAAACCAGGCACATTCCTCCCTCTGCAGACTCACCGCCTGGTTTGTAGACACCGGTCTGCGCCTGGGGCGTCAATAGTTTCAGGATTTAAAACAGAAACACACCGGGCGCCCCTGTGGCTGAGGAATGGCGGTTCCGGCGCAAGACCCTGCCCACAGAGGGTATCTCCCCACTGCCTGCGGGCAGCCGCCACCTGAGTACTCCCGGGCGCACGCGGCCCGCGCGGCATCCCAGCTCCCCGGGCGGACCCAGGGGCTCTCCACAACATTTCCGCTCCCTTCTGCAGAGCGCCGCCTCTGCCCCCTCCCGACAGGCTGTCTCTCCCTTCAACCTTGAGCACCCACTCCTGTCGCCGTTGTGGGACCCGCGTGGCAGCCCTCCACCCTCGTACCCACTCCCAGCCGGTGTCTTATGCCGTTCGGAGGCAATGTCCACCGTCCCTGCACCTTTCACCCGCCCCTTCCAAGTGAGACGTGTCTCTTCCAGCTCCGCCATCCTGACGGCCAAAAAATTGCTTGGAGTAGCTGAGGCCGGATGAGGAGAGCCAAAGTTGAGCTGGAACCGTTCCCTAATTTTTAAGGCCAGCGCTGCACACGGGTCTTTCTACGGCCCTCAAAGCAGCGACCGCTGCTCCTCACTGGGCTAGGCCTGGTAGAGAGCAAATGCCTGTTGTGGAAGAAGATGGTCCCTACCAGCGCGGAGTTTCCAGAATCTGTGGGGAACTGCATAGACTCCCCCAGAAAACAACCAGGGCCTCATGAAGGTACCAGAAGGCGTGTAGGTAGAGAAAAAGTAAAAGCCTGTCGGAGAGGCAAGGCCTACATTCAGGCTCCTGATTTCAATAGGCGGAAAAGAAGGCCGCCAAGGCTGGGTCACCTCCCTTGTGAGGACAGATCCTGCTCTCAAAACCGTAAGAAGCCACCCAGTGTGTGCCACACTCCAGCCACGCACCACCAATGCAGTCAACAAACACTGCTTGACCTCCCATACAGAAAAGCAGTAGTTGACACGTACTGAGCGCTTAACATGCCTGAGGCCCTGCACTAAGATGCTGGCGTGTTCTGCCTCATTCAACCCTAGCAACAACCAAAAACGGTATTACTGCCTTCGTTTTATAGACGAGGAAACAAACTTAGAAATGCCCAAGATCACACACTGACTAGGCCAAGCAAGAGCTGTCGAATACCAAAGTTTAGTCATAACTCTATCTTCCTTTCACATACTGCTCTGTGCACCTGCTGCCAGGGATACAAGGGCAAAAGCAACCCCAGGACCCTGCCCTCGTGGAGCTTACAGTCTAACTGGGACGACCCGGCAGGCACCTACAAATATAGAATTAAGTGGGAAGTGATAAGTGACACGCATGTCTTGCTAACACAAGTTGCAAGTTCAGAGACTGAAAGAGGGGACTTCCGGCTAGACGATCTAGGCGCTCTTCCTCGGAGAACATTTTCCACTTGTGGAGGCTAAGGGTCAGAAACGTGTTCCAAGTGGAGAGAAAGCTTGAGCAACGGCAACAAGTTGAAAACGGACATGTCGCCCACCCATAGACAGATAAAACACTCCGTCTCCTCGTGGATCCAGCGCCCGGTATTTACCCGCCAGGAAGTTTTCCTGCCCCGCGCAGCAGCTGAAAAAAGCACACCCCAGGGGCATCCTTCCCTGGCGTTGTTCGTGGACAGCAAGCCTCCCAGAATTGGCCTAGGTCGGGAAGGTGCAGCCACGCGGGAATCAACGGTTCAGGAACCGGATCAGTGCAGCCTCGCCAGCAGCATCTCGGACTTCAGGACTCTATACTAGTCCTTGTCTATTTCTGGTAGAGCCGCAACATCCCACTCCGCAAGAGCAGGGGGCGTAGCCCACAGGAGCCGGAACCTATGGGGAGGGAGGCTGGGGCGCCGGCCCCGCCCTCCGACGTGACGCAAGTCTCCCGGACAGAGGCTTCGGAGCCCCGGCCCCAGTCCCTGCAGTGGCTGTAACAAAACCCAGACCCCCAGGTCCCGGCCAATGGAGGCGATTTAGACTGGAGTAGGACCGCGTCTGTCAAAAGCCCGACTCTGCAGCAGCGGCGGAGTCCAGGAGGAGAGCTGGAGCCGCCGCGCTGCCTCCCCGCCCCCGCCGGGATTTATTATTTGGACTAGACAATTAAGTGGCCCTGATGATGTTACCAAGCCCGGTCACCTCCACCCCTTTCTCAGTCAAAGACATTTTGAATCTGGAGCAGCAGCAGCAGCACTTCCATGGTGCGCACTTGCAGGCGGACTTGGAGCACCACTTCCACTCTGCGCCCTGCATGCTGGCCGCAGCTGAGGGGACGCAATTTTCTGACGGAGGGGAGGAGGACGAGGAAGAAGAGGGCGATAAATTGTCCTATTTGAACTCACTAGCCGCAGCCGACGGCCACGGGGATTCAGGGTTGTGTCCCCAGGGCTATGTCCACACGGTCCTGCGAGACTCGTGCAGCGGGCCCAAGGAACATGAAGAGGAGCCCGAGGTCGTGAGGGACCGGAGCCAAAGTGAGTAGAGGGGGAAAGAAAACGCACCCGCACACCTGGAGCAATGGCAGAGCGCACACAGACAGCCCACAAACCTTGCCAGAGCGGCTGCCCACCCCTTTACCCTTTGGCTGGGGCCATGCCTCCGCCCTGGTCGCGAACAGCTCCACAAAGCGCAGGTACCTGCGAGGGAGATGGGGCGGAGAGACAAGGACGAGGTGACCCTGACAACTACTCCTCCCCAAAGGGGGAAATGAGGGAAGGGAAGGTGGTTACTACTGCCCTGATGCTGAGAGGCGACGTGGGCTCAGCGCCTGGGTCCTCATAACTGGCAGTGTTTTTGCTCTTCCCCCCCTCTACCCCACCAAAAGGTTCTTCCCCCAAAAAGGGCAGGAGCCTGGACCTTTTTCGTTTTCCCTCTAGGGTAAGATGAGTTCTCTTAGCCCAGGGCAGCCACCCCTTCTTCTCCAAAAAGACAGCCCAAGCAGCCTGTGTCTCTCTTATCCGCAGGGGGCAGGAACTTTGGTGGAGGCCAGTTGGGTGGTTTCCTCCCTTCTCTGCTTGGAACTCAGCGTCCTTGAACCCGTGGCACCCGGTAGAGAGAGAGGAGATGATCGGAAAGTGCATGGGAACACTGTCTATTCCGCGCGACCATAGCTCTCACATCCCTAAGGCGCCGGCCTTTTTTGAAAATCCGTAACGTTTTGCTTTGTGTCCCAGGCTGCGGGCCGAATAGAAAACGCGCCGAACTTGAGTCCGAGATCTTGGCTGCTCACATTGGACGGGAAGTAAATTGATAGGGAGATGGGATAATCAAATAAAGTCCCCAAGGAAGCGTATTTAAGAGGACAGAATCTCAGTCTTTCCCCAAGAGGCGGTTTGATGTGGCAGAGGCCAAGGCCTATGCTCTCATAGTTCCCAGAGCCTAAAATCGGCATGAAACTGTCTATAACTAGTCAATCAAACTTCATTTTCAGAGGACACACGGACATTGTCATCACATTTGCATGTAGTCTTTTATAAGCCACACACACACGTCCCTGGGCCATGCACAAGCGTCACACTCGGAACAGATTTTCGCTCAACCCATGCCCACCGGCCCACTCATACCAACACGCCTCACACGTTCAGTTATCCTTGGTGGAGTAGAAGGCAAACGAGTTTGCAAATACTGTAGTTATTATGTAGCTGCAAGCCTTCATCCTGAAAATAGTCATTAGCACGTCGAGCCGCACATTTAATACAGAGTAATCTCTTCTCTCGCAGATGCTCAAGATCCAAATAAACACGCACTAACTACCCCTCTCCAGGAAACGCGCCTCCGCCTGCTAAGGGCGTTCTTTCGGTATTGGGGCTGTCGCAGGGTCCCACAGCGCCAGGAGCCACAAACGTTCCCAAAAGTCCAGCCATTTACTACCGCACGCTCTGCTCAGCCGCCAAAAGGGGTCACGGTGCTCCAGGACAGGAGCCGCGGTGCGGCTGGGAACAGCTAAGGACGCTGTTGTTTGCTTCTTCCGCAGAAAGCTGCCAGCTGAAGAAGTCTCTAGAGGCGGCCGGAGACTGCAAGGCAGCGGAGGAGAGCGAGAGGCCGAAGCCACGCAGCCGCCGGAAGCCCCGGGTCCTCTTCTCGCAAGCCCAGGTCTTCGAGCTGGAACGCAGGTTCAAGCAGCAGCGGTACCTGTCGGCACCCGAGCGCGAGCACCTCGCCAGCAGCCTGAAGCTCACGTCCACGCAGGTGAAAATCTGGTTCCAGAATCGCAGGTACAAGTGCAAGAGACAGCGGCAGGACAAGTCTCTGGAGCTGGGCGCACACGCGCCCCCGCCGCCGCCCCGCCGCGTGGCGGTCCCGGTGCTGGTGCGGGACGGCAAGCCGTGCGTCACGCCCAGCGCGCAGGCCTACGGCGCGCCCTACAGCGTGGGCGCCAGCGCCTACTCCTACAACAGCTTCCCCGCCTACGGCTATGGGAACTCGGCCGCGGCCGCCGCCGCAGCCGCTGCCGCCGCCGCGGCCGCCGCGGCCTACAGCGGCAGCTATGGCTGTGCGTACCCGGCGGGCGGAGGCGGCGGCGGCGGCGGGACCTCCGCGGCGACCACTGCCATGCAGCCCGCCTGCAGCGCGGCCGGAGGCGGTCCCTTTGTGAACGTGAGCAACCTAGGAGGCTTCGGCAGCGGCGGCGGCGCACAGCCGTTGCACCAGGGTGCTGCAGCCGGGGCCGCGTGCGCTCAGGGCACCTTGCAGGGCATCCGGGCCTGGTAGGGACGGGGCGAGTCACGCGGCAGGCACCCCAGCGAAGCCTGGCGCCGCGGGACTGAAGCTCGAGAAGGGCCTGACCTCAAGGTCAGGTCCCCTCGTTAAAAAATATATATATACGTCTCGCTCCTCCGGGCTTCGGATCGCAGCTCACTCGAGGCCTGGGGAAGGGGGCTCAGGGGCAAGGAGGATGACTGGGTCCGGTCGCCAGGACTGTCTCTGAGGCAGAAACGCCGGCTGGGCGCCGGAGGGGACGATGGCCCCGACCCTGGCAGCGAGGGGAGTGCAGGCGGCTAGGACCCTGGCCGCGCTTGGTTCTTCCAAAGTGAGAAGGGCTTCTCTCCCTCTGCCTTTCCGCGGCCTCCGCGAAGCATTGGCGGGGAGCCCAAGGACATAACAAATTAAAAGCATGAAGGAGAGAAAAATGGGAGTCGTGGCTTGAGAAATTACAGGCCCTACCGATTCTCTGCCCCCTTTGCGGGCCTGAAGCGCCATAGCACAGTCGATCTCGTTTCCCAGCTGTCTCCCCTCCGCAGCAGATACCTCTGTCCAGGTCTCCGGATTGTCGGGGAACGCAGGATTCTTCGAGGAAGACCAGCCGAATGAGATCAAAAGTTGGAGGTGGGGGGAGGCTGAACAAACTCGAGACCTGGTGGCCCACCGGAGGTGTTACCGGGTTTCCTTTCTGTTTCGTATTCTGTATTCAGCACATGTTATCTATCTATCTATATAACTATAACCACACGCCGTGTACACACCCGCTGCCACACACTACAGGAGTCAATAAACAAGGTGCAATATTTTCAGATCGTTGGCCGGCTACAGAATTTGTTTAGCCCCCAAGAGTGGAGAGGAATCCTTTAAATAGGGCCAGAAAGGGAGGAAAAGGTGCGAGGGGGAAAGCCATCCTCCGTGGGCGATTGCAGGCCTGGTCTCCCATGAGCCAGGCCCCAGGCTGTAAGTCTGGTCTCTTCGTGGCTTTGTTCATTAATTTCTGTTTACTTTTGCGGGCTGGACAGGTCGAAGGCTCAGGGCCATTTGAAGTCCCTGGCTTTGCAGTTCCCCCTAAGTTTTACCCAGATGCTTGGACTAGCTGTATAGACCTGCGTTCGGTCAAGTCTTGTAATCTGCCCCACCTCGAGGGTCGCCAGGGAAAAGGAAGCCTCGCCCCCAGGCCCAGCTGTTGGCGGCGCGAAAGCAGCCTCTTCCCCGGCTGCAGCCAGGGCTACCAACGCGCCTGGGGGTGCTGCGCTGCGCCCCACCGCGGCCGAGCTCTCCCCCTTGGCCGCCCTCCCTTCTCCCCCGGCGGCCCCGGCTTTATGCGGCTCCTTGTCACTTGCGGAGAATGCCTGTGCGAGGCCTGTGCTGCCACACGGCCGATTGTGAGCGTGCCAAGGCGGGTGAATGGGGAGGCCTCAGAGCGCCGCGCCATTGTGGGGCCGGGCCTCGCTGAAAGGCGGCTCCGGGCCGGGAAGGTGCGGAAAGAATAGCTTTTTATTGGAGTCCCGAACAAAAGGTGTGGTAGGAAGGCGAGGTCCCCTGCGCGAACAAAAACCCCAGCGCGTCGGATTGACGTCCCCCCCGAGCTCCCCATTGCTTCTCAGAGCGGGGGCTTTGTGCAGCAGTCTGCTCAACAGAGGGACGGAGAAATGTGCGGGGGTTTTGTTCCCCACTTTTTGTGAACTGGGGGAGGGGGCGGCCAGAGGGACGGGGGCTGGGCGGGCAGCAGGGAGGGGAGCGCTGATTAGGCCGGGCCGGCCGGGGCGCTGAGACGTTCAGCGGGAGTCGGCGGCCTGAATGCTGGGTCATTATTGCTACAAGTTTAGCAATTTCACCCTTACAGGAGGGGGTGGGGCTGCTAGGCTGTGGCGGGGCCGACCGGCTGGGGAGCTGGAGAGACGCGAGGAGGAGTAGGAAAAAGAAGGAGGGGAGGGAGGGAGGCAGGCAGGCAGGCAGGCAAGGAAGCCCTCCGAAGCCCTCTGACCGCCCAGGATGCGACTTGGACACATCCGAAAGGGCCTAGCGGGAGGCTAGAGAAGCGGCACTTGGGGGGCGAAGACCTTCCCTCCCCTCGCCTCTTAGGCGGCAGAAAGACCCCGGAGCCAAGCATGAGCCAGTGCACTAGACTGCAGGTCCCGCAGCAACTTGCAGCCGCGTCCCTCCTCTTTCACGCCACCCCCAAACTGGGACACAGCCTCCCACCACCGTGATGCCCCAATCCCCTTCCCTACCGCGATCCCTCTTCTGGAGCCATTATCTTCCCATGGATTGTTTAGGCAAAGGGCTGGAGAGGGAATTCTTGGCTCCTTACTTGCTTCTCACAGCCTGCAGCTGCAGACTCATTCATTCATTCATTCATTCATCCATTCAACTAGGTATACTGAGCACCTACTATGTATTCACTTGTACTGTTGAGTTGCTGGGAACGGTGAAAAAAAAGTGTCCCTAGACTGGTGGATTTTATTTTCAGGTGTGCAGGTGTGGGTGGAGGGAGGGTGAGACAATAAACAAATGCAAAAACAGTAGATGAATTCTAAAAAGGAAATAGAACCAAACGCTGGTAGTGGAGGTCTTTTCAAGTAGGTGGTCGGGAAAGCCTGTTAAGATTACATTTAAGTCAATGCCTGAATGACAAAAGGATGTCATTCCAACAGTGCTTTGCTATCTCAGCCTCCATGTCTCTGCACATGCCCTCCTGTCCAGCTGGAATGCCCTTCCACCCCCATTTTTCTGGTGAACTTTTGCCTCTCCTTCAAGGCCAAGCTTCCTTCCTGAACCACCTAAGTGGAGGTAATCACTCTCACATTTGTGCCATCAGAGTCTTAGGTACTTTCCAATATCATAACATGGTGTCATGCAAAGATTTATTTGTCTCTCTCCCTCCACAGGAGAGATGTGGAGGGCCAGGTTGGCATCTTTTCCCTCTGGGACAAGTACCACAGTAGGAGCTCATGGGGCCAGGAGGGCTGTGAGATGCCCTCTGGGCCCCTTCAGCACCTCTTCCCTGGTTCGTGCTGCCTGAATTGCCCAGGTGCTGTTGAGCTGTGGCCTTGGCTGCTGGCCTGGGGAAAAGTGGAACTGGAATATTGGCTTCCCTGGGCCTAGTCAGGACACTTGGCAACCCATTTCCAACCCAGCAGAAGGTCCCACCTCTTCTGTACCCTGTGATACTGCCTAAGGACATCCCTCCCCACAATGTTGCACCTCATCCTACAGCTCAATACCTAGGATAGAAGGCTAAGATCTTGGTAAAGACCTTGACCCCAGGACACAAAGTTTGGGGCCTGGGGAAAACTAGGATGTGTAAGAAACCCAGGACCTGCATCTGGGACCCAATTTGACTTCCCCTACATTCACTAGGCACAGGGAATGGAAAGTCAGCAAGACCTGGGCCAGCACCCTGTGAAAGCTCACTCCCCAGGTGGAATTTCAGCACCTTCACTCTAGGAACTGAAGTCTCTAGGAATAGCTGCGCTTGCTCCACTGGAGGTTTCCTAAGTAAGCAACTACTTTGCCTCCAATCCAGTCCCCTATTCTGCTGGGCCTTGGCCTCTCAGCACCACACACCCACTTTCCTTCCTGGGCTTCCTCTTGCCCTGTGTTGGTCTTCCTTCACTCTGCATTCCCTCTTGTTCTGGAAAAGTGACTTGTGATCCTCATAGAGGAAACAGAACTGGTTCTGTGGATTGGCTTCCGCAAGTTTGCGTGTCCTGAGATACTTGAAGCCAGCCTAGACCAGCCTGCTCCCTATCCTGCTCCGGAGCCTGCAGTCTCCAGGTATAAAAAGCTCCCATCATTTCACTGGAGGATTTCCCTACTGCTCATTGCTGGGGTTCCTCGATCGGAGGTTGAAAATCCTTGACCAACGCAGCTACCTCTTCCTTGGGCTCCCTCTCCAGGGGAAAAGTTCCCCCTGACAGGATGAACTGCTGCTTCATTAAATTGTCCTGTGAGCCAGGAGGAATCAAAATCTACCCATTAGACTTGGAACAGGCCAAGTAAGTTGTTCCTCTGGGCTGTGGTTTTTGAGATCTATGGTGGAGAGAAGGGTAAACCATATGATACCAGAGGTCACTTCAGGTTCAACCCTCTTGGGTTCCCTTGGATGAGTGTGTAACCCCTCCCCACCCACTAAGCTCAGGGTGGGTTGGCACCACTGGTGGAAGAAGTGGGATAGGTTTTAGATGGCTAAAACCTATTTTCCTGTAGAGCCTGATCTTGAGGAGTTAAGAGGATGAACTCTGAAGTCAAACTGAGTCCATTCTATTCTCAGCAGCACCACAACCAGCAGTGGAAACCTTGAGTAAATTAGAAGTGCCCTGAACCTCAGTTTCTTCCTCTATAAAATGGGTATGCTTGTAGCACCTTTTTTTGTTGTTGTTCCTACAGTAAAACATGCAAATAGTTAAGTATACAACTCAGTGAATGTTTATATAGTAAATCTTCATGTATCAATCATTTTGGCTTTGGAAGTTAAGTAAGATGATCAAGCTCAATACCTAGGATATTGCGTTGACGTTCCAGGAAGATGTCTAGGACGCTATTCCGCCCTCGAGGCACTCGCAGTTCCCCGGGGTGAGGGAGTGGGGACAGGGGCGGGGAGGCGGGGACCTGGACAGCACAAGGACCGAAAACCCCAGCTCTGCGGGCGCGCGTCACCACGGAGATCTGGCAGAGCCATTGCGGGTAAACCTGGGACAGGTGGCGCCCGGCAGGGTCTGCAGGGCTTTGACTTCGGCTGCATCTGGGACATTCGACAGAAGGGGAAGGTGAAAGAACGTTTCCTGGTGGAGGCACGAGTCCTCTCTAGCCCACCGCTGCAGGAAGGAAAGGGTAAGGAGGGGAAACCCGGCGACTCTCCACGGGGCTTCTCTCGGGCCCGCGGGCACCGCCCGGGTGACTTGGGGCCGCGCGTCTGCCAGGGTGGGGCCGGGTGGGCGGGCGCTTTGCTGGAGACTGGCACGTGCGGGAGACCGGGAGGTCCAAGGCCCCAGTCGCAGCCGCGCAGTTCCTCGCTTTCTGGTTCAGGACGCCAGTGGGGACTTCCCGGGCACCTCCTCCCAACTCCAGGGGCCCGAGCCCTGGAAGGACTGTGATTTGTCCGCGACTGGAGAGAGTTCAGTGCTCAGCCTCAGTCTGGCCGCGCTCGAGAGGAAAGGATCCTTTCGAACTGCCAGGGGCAGCGCAGGTGCCACGGGGCGGGGCGCCCGGGGGCCGACCGCTGCTTCCCAGGCGGGCCCGGGGCGGTCAGAGCCAGCTGGGCCGGGAGTGCCCCGGCGAGCCCCGGGAGAGCCTAGCCGACTCTGCGGGTGAGAGCCCAAACTGCAAGAGCCAGCAGTCCTGAAGGTCGCGGAGGTAGGATGTCCTGGGTGGGGCTTAGGGGACATGGGGAGGTCTCTGCAGGGAGTCCTGGGGAGGCGTCAGTGGGAGGGGGCACTGATCTCTAAAGCACGTTAGCTTTGTTGAAAATAGGCCCCCACCTCACTCCACCTAGATTGTAAGGAACAGATTAATAACAGCTGAGGTTTTCAAAAGGGGTCATTAGTAAACTTCTTATTGGAGTGGGAGATACATCCAGAAAACCCCAAGCTTCGGCTTGCTCTATCTTTATAAACGGAACCCTTCTATGCTACCAACACCCACATGAAGAAACAGAACATTATCAGTCCCTGGAAAGTACCCCATGCTCCCTTCTTGTAATTACTACCTGGAGCCAGTAAGGGTAACCACTGTCCTGGCTTCTAACAGCACAGGTTAGTTTTGCCTGTTTGGGAACATTATCTAAATGGAATCATATAGATTGCACTCTTGTGCACCTGCTTCATTCGTTCGTGAGATTTATCCATATGGCTGCGGGTAGTTGTAGGTCGCTCATTTCAGTTATTTTAGAGTGTTCCACGGTGTGAAAATACCACAATCAATGTATCCATTCTGCTGTTTATAGGTATTTGGATTGTTTCTAGTTTTAGGCTGTTGTGAATAGCACCACTACGATATGCTAGAACAGTGTCCAATAGAACTTCCTGCGATGATAATGTTCTATATCCGTGCCATCCAACATGGTAGCCATTAGTGACGTGTGACTTTTGAGCACTTGAAATGTGACAGGTGTGACTGGGGAACTGAATTTTTAATTTTCTAAAATTGTAATTAATTTAAATGTAAGTAGCTAATATGGCTAGGGCTACTCTATTGGACAGCACAGTTCTAGCTTGTCTTTTGGTGACCATAATACAAATTTCTATTCAGTATATGCCTAGGAGTGCAATTGCTATGTCATAGATACAAATATTAGCCTTAGTAGGTTCTACCAAGCAGTTTTCTACAGTTGGTTAGACCAATTTACACTTCTACCAGTGTTAGCACCACATGGTCCCCAATACTTAGTATTTTTATTTCACTTATCTTTCATTTTAGCCATTCTGGTGAGCATGTAGTTAAAAGAGGCTTTTGTTCACTTTTATGTAAGATTGTGAAACTGCCACTTAACCTAGTGAAGAAGATGATGATGGTGGTAGTAGTTGGGGGTTTCTTGGAAGCTGAGGAGGCCATGTGAGTCTAAAGCCCACCCTTTTCATGACCCCACCTTGCAGTCAGACCTCCCACTTAATCAGCTTTCTCCCTTAGGAACTAGACCTAGGGCATCAGTAGGACTTGAGGGAGGGGCTGTGTGTTTGGAGTTTATCCATCTCCTATAGCTCTTGTAACTTTATGCTGTCTCAAAATGAGCGTCCCCTTTTCTTTTACTGCTACTTATTAGAATGGCTCACCAGAGGAGATGGTGAGCTTGCTTGGCAGGCTGCAACCAGGGTAGAGAAGCCAGGTTTTGTTCTGGCCGCAGTTTTAGTTTGTGGCTTGGCTTTGCCATGTGTCAAACAGCATTAGCAATCCTTGGGGCTAGACACGATGGCTCACATCTATAATCTCAGTGCTTTGGGAGGCTGAGATGGGAGGATCACTAGAGGTCAGGTATTTGAGAGCAGCCTGGGCAACACAGTGAGATATTGTCTCTACTAAAAATTAAAAAAAAAAAAAAGAAACAAACTAGCTGGGTGCAGTGGTGCATACCTGTAGTCCCAGCTGCTAGGCAGGCTGAGGCAGGAGGATTAATTGAGCCCAGGAGGTCGAGGCTGCAGTGAGCTTTGGTCTCGCCACTGCACTCCAGCTGGAGTGACAGGGTGAGACTGTCTCAAAAACAAAATAGGCACCATGGCTCACACCTGTAATCTCAGCATTTTGGGAGGCCGACATGGGAGGATCATTTGATGTCAGTAGTTCGAGGCCAGCCTGGCCAACATGGTGAAACCCCATCTCTTCTAAAAATACCAAAAAAAGAAAAACATTAGCCAGGCATGGTGGCACAGGCCTGTAGTCCCAGCTACTTGGGAGGCTGGGGCAGGAGAATTGCTTGAACCCAGGAGGAGGATGTTGCAGTGAGCCGAGACTGCACCACTGCAATCTGCCTGGGTGACCCAGGCAGAGAAACTCTGTCTGAAAACAAAAACAAAAATGAAACAAAAACAAAAAACAACCCTTGGGTGTGCTTGCTGGGAAGTAAAGCAAAGTCAGCCCTGTGGAGGCAGCAGGGAGATTTCTTACTATGTGTCAGACTGTGTGTGTGGGTGTCTCTGTGTGTGTGTGTTTGTGTGTGTCTGTGTGTTGCTTTGTAGACATTCTCTTTAATCCTCAGAATAGCCATGTGAGGATTCCTTATTTACACATGAAGAAACTGAGGCTCAGAGAGGTTAAATCACCCCCCGCCCAAAGGCCACAGCAAGCAAACAGTAGCAGTAACCTCAATAGGACTTTTCACCCAGTGCCACTAAGAACATTTCTGTTTTCTACCTCTCTCCTCTGGGTAAACTGACTAGTGCAGATCTTGATATTCTGGATGAAATTAGATGCCCTATGCTACACCTCCTTTTGGATGGACCTACGCTGACCATTGACCGCCTATGTGCTGGAAATTAAGCAAAGCATTTGTTATGTTAAAATACCAGTGAAGGCCGGGCGCGGTGGCTCAAGCCTGTAATCCCAGCACTTTGGGAGGCCGAGACAGGCGGATCACAAGGTCAGGAGATCGAGACCATCCTGGCTAATGCGGTGAAACCCCGTCTCTACTAAAAAAAATACAAAAAACTAGCCGGGCGAGGTGGCAGGCGCCTGTAGTCCCAGCTACTCGGGAGGCTGAGGCAGGAGAATGGCGCAAACCCATGAGGCGGAGCTTGCAGTGAGCTGAGATCCGGCCACTGCACTCCAGCCTGGGTGACAGAGCGAGACTCCGTCTCAAAAAAAAAAAATAATAAAATAAAATAAAATAAAATAAAATAAAATACCAGTGAAATTCACTTTGTGTGACACAATGAGTTCTTGCAAAGTTGTGTGCAAAGAGCTTTTTGCCATGGGTAGGGAGAAAAACTGAGTACATTTTAAACTCATCACTGGAATTTGTTCTTTAAAAGTATCCCGAGCTGAATTATTTTGTAAAGGGAAGGATTACTTTGAAATATGAATAATAACCCAGAATTTCCTTTTTAATGTGAGGATTACAAGTAATAAAAAAAAAGTGACGAGCAACTCAAAATTATTTGCAAGATTCATCAATATTTCATACCTATTTCCTGGTTCATTGAGAAGGGTTATCTTGAAAGTTTCACTGGGGCCACCTTGAGAGTGAATTATCTGGGAGGTGCACAGATTTGTTCTCAAACCAGATAAGGAGTAACTAGAAACCCATTGCCCCCATGGCTACTAGTGGATTCAGGCTCAGTTTGGCTATATTTTACAGTCCTTGATCACTTGGTGAGCCTCTCACAGAGGGGGCTCAAGAGTCAAAGGATTATTATATTACATCACCTTTCGGGCCCCTTCCAGCCCTGAAGTCTTTACACTAAATTTGTTACATGCCTATAGATTCAGCTGTACATTTCACCTAAGAATCACCAAAGTCTAACTCTTTTCTGATGCCCATTTCTGCCTGCAGCATCCTAAGCAAGGCACTGTCCCATATCTCCTGGACACTACCCATGGGAGAACCACTCACCCCTCTACTCAATAAGTGTGAAAAAATTCTGTCTTATGTTCACATGGACTCTGCCTTCCTGCAACTTCCATCACTGGCAACTTCTGTTTTCACAGATGTCTACTTCTGCATGTCAGCTTTTCACATATTTAAAGTCAACCATTGAATGCTGTGTAGACCCCTCTCTTCTCCCAGTAAAATAACCTCGGTTTCTTTAACTGTCCTCAGCCTCCTGGCCATTCCTCAGTAGATGTTCTCTAGCTCCCCTGTTTCTTCTGTGCCTGGGCGATTCTGCTGTGTTCCCCAAAGGAGGGCCCCCCTTCCTAAGCCTTTAAACACATCTATCCATCCTCCCCCACTCTTCTGAGAAGGAAGGGGCCAACTGGGAGGCTCTCCTCAAATTAAGTTTTTATTCCTTAGTCTTCAGAGGAGTAAGTACCATTCTTCTCTCCACAAGTAATACTTCTTTTAAAGTCTAGATAAAAGTTTCTTTCCTATTTCTAGAAATAATGCTTCTGAGACCAGGCATGGTGGCTCACACCTGTAATACCAACACTTTGGGAGGCCGAGGTGGGAGGATTGCTTGAGCCCAGGAGTGTGAGACCAGCCTGGGCAACATGGCCAAACCCTGTCTCTACAAAAAATACAAAAATGAGCCAGAAATGATGGTGCACACCAGTAGTCCCAGATACTAGGCAGACTGAGGTGAGAGGATCACCTGAGCCTGGGGAGCTTGAGGCTACAGTAAGCTGAGATGGTGCCACTGGATGACAGAGTGAGATCCCCTCTCGAGGAGGAGGAGGGGGAGGAG